AGGCAGCTCCCCGCCGGCCCCTCCGCATCCCGGACCCCCGCCCCGGCCTCTCCTGCCGCCGTCCCGGCGGGGGAGCAGCCGTCCCTGCTGGGACCCTGGGGTGTCGTGTCCCCCCCTCCCCGCCTGCCGCCCGGGGTGTCGGCAAAGCCGCTGGGTCTGGGGGTCCCTGCGGGGTGGCTCTGTGTGGCTGTCTTGCTGCCGCTGGAGGTGGGAAGCTGTCTCCAGCCAGCCCCATGGAGCCACTGCCTTGCCTGCGCCTTCCCGGGCTGAACGAGGTGCAGGCAGGGGCAGGAGTCAGATGTGGGCCATGGTGAGAGGAAAGCGTTTGTTCTGGCCCCAGCAGCTCACTCCTGAGGCAGAAGTTCGAGGTTTCACTTCCATTTTCCCAACGGTAACTCAGAGCCATGGCCCTGGAGAGCCCCTCATCGCTGCCCGCAGGCCCTGGCCTCTGTTCGGAGTCCCCACAAATACGTCAGCTCAGAAACGGGAAGGGGGCAAAAGCGCTGGAGGCCTGGCTGTGCCTCTGGCCAGCCATCGGCTTCTGGCTCAGTTCCCTCAGAGGAGTCCCCGAGCTGTCCCTGGGGAAGTTCCAGGCTCCCCTGCCCACTCTGGAGACTTTCCCTGGACTCCCCTTTCCCTCACGGTGTGCAGCCAGGCAGAGGCAGCGGCTTCTCAGTGTCCCTCCGTGCTCCGGCCACGCGCCGCGCCGCCACCGCCACACTGTGCCCGCGCTACGGTGATACCTGCGTGGCCGCACCGCAGCGACAGCCTTCCGGGCCACAGTCACTGCCCCAGCCCCGGCTTGGAGGCTGCCAGCCACGCGCCGCAGGCTGCCTGCGGCCTTCGCCAGGTTGCTCCAGCTCCCGCGTGGTGGCCGGTGGGAGGGGAGGGCAGCGTGCTTTCCCGAGGGCGACAGTGGGGTGGGCAGCGGCGGGAACCGCGTGCTCTGGATTCCCCCAGCCTGCCGTCACTTCCCAAAACTGACTCAGTGGAGAGCGCGAAGGGTCCCAGGGGAGTCTCGAGGGCAGAGAGAAGAGGCAAAGGTGGGGAGGGGATTTCTGGGCCCGGCTCCCGCAGGCCCGGCCTGGGAAGTCCCCGCAGCCCCGGGGAACCGGCCGCGCAGGAGGAACGCGTTTGCGGCTCCGGGCTGCGAGCGCGCCCCGCTCCCGGCCCCGAGCGGCGTGGGGGCGGCGAGGCCCGGTGC